TTATAACTTACCTGTACTCACAGTCCTTATGTTATAACTTACCTGTACTCACAGTCCTTATGTTATAACTTACCTGTACTCACAGTCCTTATGTTATAACTCACCTGTACTCACAGTCCTTATGTTATAACTTACCTGTACTCACAGTCCTTATGTTATAACTTACCTGTACTCAAACAGTTCGCGGGACAGCATACCAGTGGTGCTCACCACCACATCCTTGTTACTGAGGCCATCAACTATCACCTTCATCGCCTCCTCACGATCAAGGGGGAAGCTGTACAAAAGGATCCATTGTTAAGGGGAGATAATCACTCAGCAACATATAACGCAATACAAAGACCTGTCCATAAAGATCACCTGTCTATAAAGATCATATGCATTTACAGACCATCTGTCTATAACAAAGATCTCCTGTCAATAAAGACCACCTGTCTATAATGATCAACTGACTATAAAGATCACCTGTCTATAATGATCAACTGACTATAATGACCACCTGTCTGATAAAGATCACCTGTTTATAATGATCAACTGACTATAAAGATCACCTGTATATAATGATCAACTGACTATAAAGACCACCTGTCTATAATGATCAACTGACTATAAAGACCACCTGTCTATAGTAAAGATCACCTGTTTATAACGACCAACTGACTATAAAGACCACCTGTCTATAATGATCAACTGACTATAAAGACCACCTGTCTATAGTAAAGATCACCTGTATATAACAATCTGACTATAAAGATCACCTGTATATAACAATCAACTGACTATAAAGATCACCTGTATATAACAAGCAACTGATTATAAAGATTAACTGTCTTTAATGATCAACTGACTATAAAGACAACCTGTCTATAGTAAAGATCAACTGTATATAACGATCAACTGACTATAAAGACCACCTATCTATAGTAAATATCACCTGTATATAACGATCAACTGACTATAAAGACCACCTGTCTATAGTAAAGATCACATGTCTATAATGATCAACTGACTATTTTTCCCGTTCACTTTGGCAGTGTTTATGCCTAGGTTTGACACCAACAGTGATTGTTATAGGAACACTTACTCCGGTGTGTCATCTTGAGGTAGTTTATACGGAAGGAATGTTTGTCTTTTCACCAGGAAGGCATAAGGACCTCTGGTCTTCTCCATGTAATGTTGAGCTGTTTGTAAAGCCTGTCAACAAAACAATATCTGAGTTTATTCTGGGTATCAGATCAACAAAGGTACAATGTATGTACAATCTTATCTGAGAGTTTATTCTGGGTATCAGATAAACACAGGTACAATGTATATACAATCTATCTGAGAGTTTATTCTGGGTATCAGGTCAACACGGGTACAATGTATATACAATCTATCTGAGAGTTTATTCTGGGTATCAGGTCAACACGGGTACAATGTATATACAATCTATCTGAGAGTTTATTCTGGGTATCAGGTCACCAAAGGTACAATGTATGTACCATCTTATCTGAGTTTATTCTGGGTATCAGATCAACATAGGTACAATGTATGTACCATCTTATCTGAGTTTATTCTGGGTATCAGATCAACAAAACAATGTGAGAGTTTATTCTGGGCATCAGATCAACAAAACAATGTGAGAGTTTATTCTGGGTATCAGATCAAACCAGGTACAATGTATGTACCATCTTATCTGAGTTTATTCTGGGTATCAGATCAACATAGGTACAATGTATGTACCATCTTATCTGAGGTTATTCTGGGTATCAGATCAACACAGGGACAATGTATGTACCATCTTATCTGAGAGCTTATTCTGGGTATCAGATCAACACAGGTACGATGTATATACAATCTTATCTGAGAGTTTATTCTGAGGATCAGATCAACAAAACAATGTGAGAGTTTATTCTGGGTATCAGATCGACATGGGTACAATGTATGTACAATCTTATCTGAGAGGTTATTCTGGGGATCAGATCAACAAAACAATGTGAGAGTTTATTCTGGGTATCAGATCGACATGGGTACAATGTATGTACAATCTTATCTGAGAGTTTATTCTTGGTATCAGATCAACACAGGTACAATGTATATACAATCTTATCCAAGAGTTTATTCTGGGTATCAGATCAACATAGGTACGATGTATATACAATCTTATCTGAGAGTTTATTCTGAGGATCAGATCAACAAAACAATGTGAGAGTTTATTCTGGGTATCAGATCGACATGGGTACAATGTATGTACAATCTTATCTGAGAGTTTATTCTGGGTATCAGGTCAACACAGGTACAATGTATATACAATCTATCTGAGAGTTTATTCTGGGTATCAGATCAACACAGGTACAATGTATATACAATCTTATCTGAGAGTTTATTCTGAGTATCAGATCAACAAAACAATGTGAGAGTTTATTCTGGGTATCAGATCGACATGGGTACAATGTATGTACAATCTTATCTGAGAGTTTATTTTGGGTATCAGATCAACACAGGTACAATGTATATACAATCTTATCTGAGAGTTTATTTTGGGTATCAGATCAACAAGGGTACACTGTACAGTCGAATCTGCTCAAGCGACCATCTGTTTTATGCCACCACTTTCATTCCTCCCGACCGTTTTTACTATGTAATATAACTGTATTAATACAGTAGGCGGGGTTCCAATCACAACACAGCTCAGGCGTTACCAGTAAGTGGGTTTTATTGGCCGACTAGTTTCGACTCTTAAAGCGAGTCTTCATCAGTAACCCCGCCTACTATATTTCCATATTCAACACCAATCGCCCTGCATACTTTTTGGTATCCACTCTCAGCGCGAAGTGCCACACTGATCAACCCACCTATACTACACTACAACGTTGGCTCGACATTTTAATGTTAACTGTATTAAGCGACCATCTGCCTAACGCGATCAGCGACCACCCAATACTGACCCCAAAATTACGTTAATCACCACATTTGATACATTTTAGCGACCACGTATGACGAAAATATACCAACGGTTGTTGAAATAGTTGAGCATCTCCAAATTTGCGACCATCACCACATTTGACGAAGGGCTAATTTGCAATCTTTTCACCAAGTTCAGTGAACAAATTTGACAAAACCAATTTCCAAACTTATAATCAATTCATTGATGTGCAGAAACAAATAAAAAGTCATTTTTCTAACTGCCGATGTCGTTGATTTAGCAGTGAACAGACTGATGTTTATCACAGTTGAGCGAAACTATTTTGATTGCCCAAGTGTCCTGCTATGCAATGTGACCTTTAACCCTACGATATCCTCCATCTGATTGGATGAAGTACACTGGCGGGTTTTCATTCTTGAAATCGGGTCTGTTTAGAGATGTTCACGATATCAGCGTAACTGCGCACTAAACATGTTTATGTTAGCACACATATCGTTTCGAATTCCTCATCAATATTAAAAGCCTCTAATAACACCCCTGAACTTTTACTAAAGACAATAATACCGGTCCGTTTTTCGGCAACATGCTGTCTGCTTTATTCAGGTCATTTTTTAACTGGATTCTCTTTCCAGTTTCCATCGTAAAATAAAGGAATAATACAAATGAACCTATCGGTTGGACCAACCCAGGAACCGATATCATTTGAACAACAATATCATTCCTAACAAGTTATGTTAAATCATGGTAATTACCGAAAACACAGTCGTGTAAGTTCAGAACTTCAACAAGTCTACGCCGATCGTTTGTTCTGAGTGAAATGACAATTCTTCTCAAACACTCCTAGTTGTTTGTTTACTGTCATAATTATCAATCGACTATTGTTTAGTTATTCACCTGATCTGTTGAACTGTGTTATTTTAAACTACCTGTACGTGCGCTAGGGGTGGTGGTCTGTTTACAGTTGTCTGAATAAGGAGTCGTTTGGTTATAGTCGGTTGTGTAATTCTGTACAAAATATGGTCAAACTTTATTTAACAACCACTTTTTTTAATTTCCCTTTGGTGGTCGCTTAAAACAGATTCCACTGTATGTACAGTCTTATCTGAGTGTTTATTCAGGGTATCGGTTCAACAAAGATACTATATATGTACAATCTTTGCTGTATGTTTGTTCTCACCTGGTTATAAGTGGAAAACTTACCTGTTCTCACCTGGTTATAAAGTTATTACTGGAATGCTTACGCTTTCTGACCTGGTTATAAGGTTATTACTGGAATACTTACCTGTTCTCACCTGGTTATAAGGTTATTACTGGAACACTTACCTGTTCTCGCCTGGTTATAAGGTTATTACTGGAATACTTACCTGTTCTCACCTGGTTATAAGGTAATTACTGGAACACTTACCTGTTCTCACCTGGTTATAAGGTTATTACTGGAACACTTACCTGTTCTGACCTGGTTATAAGGTTTTTATTGGAATACTTATCTGTTCTCACCTGGTTATAACGTTATTACTGGAATACTTACCTGTTCTCACCTGGTTATAAGGTAATTACTGGAACACTTACCTGTTCTCACCTGGTTATAAGGTTATTACTGGAACACTTACCTGTTCTGACCTGGTTATAAGGTTTTTATTGGAATACTTATCTGTTCTCACCTGGTTATAACGTTATTACTGGAATACTTACCTGTTCTCACCTGGTTATAAGGTAATTACTGGAACACTTACCTGTTCTCACCTGGTTATAAGGTTATTACTGGAACACTTACCTGTTCAGCACCCTCCTGGTAATCAGGTAAAGGCTGGAATGGTATCCCCAGGGCCGCTGGAAGGAAGATTGTAATCAGTACCACTTTTTCTGATTTCAATTTCATTTTCATATCATTTTCTGAAACCCAGTCTGTTTTCATAAATGCTATAGTATAAATAAGGTTTCTATTTGTTTTTTCAAAGGTTTATGCAGATTCAGGGTTTTTTCACATTTTGTTTTTAAATTTGTAATCTAACAGTGATTTCCCTACTTCAAATCTTTAAAAAAAAAAAAAAAAATCAGCAATAGTTACATTTTTTAATAGCTATCTCTCTATAAATGCTGGAGTTTGTGTTTGAGTACTAAATGTAAGTGGTTTGTCGACATTTGTCAGATTATTCTGAGGAATCGTCCATGTAGTGTCTTGATAGCCCTACACCCACACATGTATTTATACCTAGAAGACCTGGAGTTGCCTGCCCCTGGACCATATGCTGTGGCTCGTCCCTTTTACCAGGCTCGCCTCTCCAGCCCACCAGAAGCAACATGGGAATACTGTAGACTGGAGGGACGGCCAATGACATGATAGGGTTCACAATGTTCCCAAGACCAGAGTTCTGCAGTGAAATGGAAAATATTCATAAATTACTTCAAATAACAAACCACAAAAGATGACAAATTGAGATTGCAGATCCATGCAATAACAGGGAGTCCACAAAGTTGACAGCTCTTCGTCTTATGTAGCTACAGGCAAATATCAATACTCTAGGTTCTATGGTTATGTAGAAATTGTCTATCCTTTTGACAGATGTGGATCAAGGTAATTTACATTAAAAACATTGTCATCTTTTTCAACATTTGGTATCCAATGACCCCAGAAAGCTACAGGCACGATAACTCTAGGCCTTATTCCTTTTCTGAAGAAGTAATTGGACGAAAATATTTTTCCTTAATTAAATTCATCAAAAGAAAGAGAAAATCTTATTTATATTCTCTAGTAGAAAACATCATCTTAACGCAGTTGACCCCTCTGACCTTGAATGTCAAGGTCATTGAATTTATTAACCTATAAGCTCACCATCCTGACAAGCTGATGGATATCTTTATCATGATACTAGACTCATGATTCTAAAGTCTATCAGGGGTGTCTGATTCTGCCTAATCACATACCTGGAATGCTCACAAACGCTTGTGCCAAGTGAGCTAACATTTCAACTATTTCTCATTTAAAACAATATGTGAATTGTTAGAGAGAAGATATAAACAGAAGGTAGTATACCATACCTGAAGGTAGACCATGGCATGTTTACCAGTTGCTAGGTGATAGCCTGCAGCTAAAGACACAGCACTACCCTCATTAGCTGTAATGATGTGTTGATGAGACGGGCAGTTTTGGGTGATGTAGGCACAGAAGTCTGTAAAACAAAACTTCTACTCACAAATGGGTTCATAGATTGTTAAGATAATCCAGCCATCCTCACACTCCATAGATAATCCAGTCACCATCACACTCAGTAGATAATCCAGTCACCCCCACACTCAGTAGATAATCCAGTCACCCCCACACTCAGCAGATAATCCAGTCACCCTAACACTCAGTGGATAATCCAGACACCCTCACACTCCGTAGATAATCCAGTCACCCTCACCCTCAGTAGATAATACAGACACCCTCACACTCAGCAGATAATCCAGTCACCCTCACGCTCAGTAGATAATCCAGTCGCCCCCACACTCAGTAGATAAGCCAGACACCCTCACACTCCGTAGATAATCCAGTCACCCTAACACTCAGTGGATAATCCAGACACCCTCACACTCAGCAGATAATCCAGTCACCCTCACACTCAGTAGATAATCCAGTCACCCTAACACTCAGTAGATAATCCAGACACCCTCACACTCTGTAGATAATCCAGTCACCCTCACACTCAGTAGATAACCCAGTCACCCTCACACTCAGTAGATAATACAGACACCCTCACACTCAGTAGATAATACAGTCACTCTCACAATCGGTAGATAATCCAGTCACCCTCACACTCAGTAGATAATCCAGTCACCCTCACACTCAGTAGATAATACAGTCACTCTCACAATCTGTAGATAATCCAGTCACCCTCACACTCAGTAGATAATCCAGTCACTCTCACACTCGGTAGATAATCCAGTCACCCTTCAAATTTGACAGAATAAATGTGGATTTAGACAGATTTGTCTAAAAGATAACGTACAATGTTGGCTGTTGTGGTAGCAATACTACACAATTAGTTTATTCAGATGTTTTCTGTGCTAGATATTTTGTTAATTCACCTGTTCCAACTCTCTTTAAACTTTATGTACCGAGCACAGGGAATATTGTCAGAGATATGTTATCTTTGAAAAAATCAAGTTATTATGTAGAGCATTTCAGACTAAATTTCCATTAAGATATACTGTGGTAAAGTCTGTAATAATTGATAAGCCTGACTGCACAATAATAACAATGAATAACATTTAACTGCTTCATTAAATTACAATCAACACTGACCTTTGAGCAGTGAGTCAGGCACCCCACAAAAGTAGTCAATCCCAATGCTGTTGACAGCCTTATAAAACAAAGCAGGGTCAAGGAAGTCCCGCACTAGTTCAGTCAGTTCCCCAGCGTCTTGGTTCCGATTCCTCTGCTCCTCCACTTGCTAAACAGGCAGAAAATGTTCATGTTACTTAACCATTACAGAATAAGCCTACAACAAGTCTAGCTTGTTAGACACCTAGAACTATCACAAACTCAGCCTACAACAGACCTAGCCTACTAAATTCTACCCTACAGCAACACAGGGCTATCACAAACCCAGCCTACAACAGACCTAGCCTTTCAGTGACCTAGCCTACTAAATTCTACCCTACAGCAACACAGAACTATCACAAACCCAGCCTACAACAGACCTAGCCTATTGGTGACCTAGCCTACTAAATTCTACCCTACAGCAACACAGAACTATCACAAACCCAGCCTAAACAGACCTAGCCTATCGGTGACCTAGCCTACTAAAGTTTACCCTACAGCAATAGACCTAGCCTGCCAAAGCCTTAGCTTGTCACATGCCTAGCAGACACACAGACACACACATACAAACAGCCACACTGCCTTCCAGACCTAGCCTACATTTACCCAGTCTTATCGACAAATACCTTACTACAGACCTAACCTACCACAGTCCTAGCCTACCATTGATACATTACATACTACACATAAAGCCTAGACTACTAAATACCTAGCCTCATCAGACTTAGCCTTCCACAGACATAGCCTACAGCATACGTGTACATAGCCTACAGCATACATAGCCTACAGCATACATAGCCTATCACAAGCCTAGCCTACTACAGATCTAATTATAATACACTACAGACATAGCCTACAACATACATAGCCTATCACAAGCCTAGTCTACTACAGATCTAATTATAATACACTAGAGACATAGCCTACAGCATACATAGCCTACAGCATACATAGCCTATCACAAGCCTAGCCTACTACAGATCTAATTATAATACACTACAGACATAGCCTACAACATACATAGCCTATCACAGCCTAGTCTACTACAGATCTAATTATAATACACTAGAGACATAGCCTACAGCATACATAGCCTACAGCATACATAGCCTATCACAAGCCTAGCCTACTACAGATCTAATTATAATACACTACAGACATAGCCTACAACATACATAGCCTATCACAGCCTAGTCTACTACAGATCTAATTATAATACACTAGAGACATAGCCTACAGCATACATAGCGTATCACAAGCCTAGCCTACTACAAATGTAAGTATAACATACTACAGACATAGCCTACAGCATACATAGCCTATCACAGCCTAGCCTACTACAGATCTAATTATAATACACTACATACATAGCCTACATCATACATAGCCTATCACAAGCCTAGCCTACTACAGATCTAATTATAATACACTACAGACATAGACTACAGCATACATAGCCTACAGCATACATAGCGTATCACAAGCCTAGCCTACTACAAATGTAAGTATAACATACTACAGACATAGCCTACAGCATACATAGCCTATCACAGCCTAGCCTACTACAGATCTAATAATAATACACTACATACATAGCCTACAGCATACATAGCGTATCACAAGCCTAGCCTACTACAGATCTAATTATAATACACTACAGACATAGCCTACAACATACATAGCCTATCACAGCCTAGCCTACTACAGGTCTAATTATAATACACTAGAGACATAGCCTACAACATACATAGCCTATCACAAGCCAAGCCTACAACAGATCTAATTATAATACACTAGAGACATAGCCTACACCATACATAGCCTATCACAAGCCAAGCCTACAACAGATCTAATTATAATACACTAGAGACATAGCCTATAGCATACATAGCGTATCACAAGCCTAGCCTACTACAGATCTAATTATAATACACTACAGACATAGCCTACAGCATACATAGCCTATTACAAGCCTAGCCTACTACAGATCTAATTATAACATACTAGAGACAGACTACAACATACATAGCCTATCACAGCCTAGCCTACTACAGATCTAATAATAATACACTACATACATAGCCTACAGCATACACAGCGTATCACAAGCCTAGCCTACAACAGATCTAATTATAATACACTAGAGACATAGCCTATAGCATACATAGCGTATCACAAGCCTAGCCTACTACAGATCTAAGTATAATACACTAGAGACATAGCCTACAACATACATAGCCTACAGCATACATAGCCTATCACAAGCCTAGCCTACTACAGATCTAATTATAACATACTAGAGACAGCCTACAACATACATAGCCTATCACAGCCTAGCCTACTACAGATCTAATTATAATACACTAGAGACATAGCCTATAGCATACATAGCTTATCACAAGCCTAGCCTACTACAAATGTAAGTATAACATACTACAGACATAGCTAAAGAATACATAGCCTATCACAAGCCTAGCCTACTACAGATATAAGTATAACATACTACAGACATCGCCTTCAGCCACACACCTAGCCTACAACCTCACCGTCTACTTAAGACCAAGCCTTCCATACATTTTAATCTAGCCTTGCACAATAATGTATTAATACACCACATATAAATACACAGTCATTGCTCTTTAACTTTGGATACTTTAATTGATGTAATTTTTTATGTTTCAAACACTGCTTCATACTTCAGGGATCTAAAAAAAAAATCAAGGCAGCATCTTCCTCCCACCTGCACATTTAACCAATCATGGCAAAATATCTCCATTTAAAGAAATACAAAAATGCAAAAAGTCATTTGCAGAGATTGTTGACAGACTGATGAAGGAGAGACAAATGACAGACACAATGGTATGGCATAAATTAACTCTAGTCCTTTGTACCAAGCTTAACAAACTTAACAAATTGAAATAAAAAACCAAAACTGTTTTAGTTATAATACTATATGGCGAATGCTTTTATACTTTTTATCTACATCCGATACAAGTACATGATAAACGATTCGTACCTGAAAAGGACAAATCTTAATCACGGTCAAGGAGTTTAAACAACATTTACTGCTAATTTATATCAAATATATCTCTATGAAAATTAAAATAACTAGAATTATGTCAGTGCGAGTTTAAAGCCGCTCACCACTTTAAATTTAATTGCTTCAGTAACACATTGAGCATCAATATCTACTATAATACCTCAGATATGTGTTCTGTATTCTGCTAATTGAAAATTGGGTCATGTGATGATGTTGCTATTGGAATTTTCCAAAATCAATCACCTCTTAAATGATGCCTTAAAAACATTTCTCCCTCTCCTCTTTTTTCACCCTCTTTAAGTGTGATGCATTGTTGTAATTTTCTTTAATTAGCATCCATTAGTGAAGGTGATGGAAGTAAAGGTGATGGTAGTGAAGGTGATGGTAGTGAAGGTGACGGTAGTAAAGGTGATGGTAGTAAAGGTGATGGTAGTGAAGGTGACGGTAGTAAAGGTGACGGTAGTGAAGGTGACGGTAGTAAAGGTGACGGTTGTAAAGGTGATGGTAGTAAAGGTGACGGTAGTAAAGGTGACGGTAGTGAAGGTGACGGTTGTAAAGGTGACGGTAGTGAAGGTGATGGTAGTAAAGGTGACGGTAGT